GAGGGGGAGGTGGGGGGCAGGGAGGCAGGAGGAGGCTGAGGAGGGGGATGTGTGGGGCAGGGAGGCAGGAGGACACTGGGTGGTGGTGAACAGGAGGTGGAGAGGCCCAGGGATGGCGGGAGGCAGGGACGGATGGGCAGTGACTCTAGGAGGGGAGGGAATACCAGGGGTGGGTGGGGATGGAGGAGGATGAGAGCTGGGGGCACACTGGGGGCAGGAGGCTGTGAGCAGAGGGAGGAATGAGACTGGGGGCAGGAGATGGGGGGTAAGGATGAGGGCTGGGTGGGTGGGGATGGAGGAGGATGAGAGCTGGGGGCACACTGGGGGCAGGAGGCTGTGAGCAGAGGGAGGAATGAGACTGGGGGCAGGAGATGGGGGGTAAGGATGAGGGCTGGGGCCGGAGTTTCCCACAGAGGAGAGCAGACGGGAGTTTGGAACGACACCCCCCCCCTTACATCATTGACATCTGGTGCTTTGAAACCTTCTCCAGACATTTTCCACCAACTCCAGGGATCCTCTTAGCAATGGTTCCCAGCTTCCTCCTCCAGTTGTGGTGGCGCGTTGGGTTCCCCGCTTCCTGCACCCCCATAGTGGCATGACCAGACTCCACCAGCCAGTAGAATAGAGGTGGTTTTTTTTTTCTCCAGGTCACACAACAACTGGGGCTAGGAGACCTCAGTGCCCCCCCTTGAGATGGGGGGTGGCTGGGCCCTCCAATCCCAGCCTCCCCCCCAGCTCCTTCTCCCCTGCTTCCCAGACAGCAACTAAAAACCGTCCCTTCCAGTCCTGCCTCCAGCCAGGGCGGCATTTCACCTTCCTTTGTTCCTCTCCCTGGGGGGTATCCGGTCGGACAGGTACCTCCCTGTCCCATCAGCTACTCTGCTGGGCCGTGGTCCAGACAGTAACCAGTGGGGGTCACCCAGAGCCAAGCCCAGCAAGGTACCCGCACTACGCCATGGATGGAGGGGAGATAAGGGAGCACCTTACATGCCCTGCTGTGTGGGCAGTCACTGGCCACCCTGGCGGCAGATTGCCATGCCTCTGCAGGGCTCTACTGTAGCTCTCTCTACCAGTCCCCTCTCCTCCCGCTGGCTGCTTCTCTCCACCAGCCACCCTACAGGCCACCAGCCCACGACTCTTCACCAGCCACCCGGCCTGCTGGGCCTCTCCATCAACCACTCTGCTGGCCATGCACCAAGGCTCACCCCAGCACCCGGGGATTTCAGCTGTTAACAAAAGAGCCTCCTTACTGGGCCATACCAGGCAGTCTTCTTGCATCAGAGACACCTAGGGTCTGTCTACACTAGCCCCCAGTTCAAACTAGGGTGGCTAATGTAGGCATTCGAACTTGCAAATGAAGCCCGGGATTTAAATATTCTGGGATTCATTTGCATGTTCCCGGGCGGGTGCCATTTTTAAATCCCCTTTGCTCGAACAGACGGCTCGCGGCTACACGCGGCAGTCAGAAGTTAATCCGAACTAAGTCCTTAGCTACACCTCATTGCAGGAACAGTGATCATCTGGGGAAGCAGTCCCATCATGCTGAGTCCCTAGGCAGGGTGCGCGTGCCTGTGCAAGCGAGAGACGCTCCTGAAGATCTCTTCCACAGCTCACCGCTAGATGTCAGGGAGAGCTCTGCTGACATCATAAGTGCATCAAAAATGGTGCATTTGCTGCTGTCTGATGCACAAACGCAGGCCCAGAAGTGACCACCGAGAGCCAAGAGTCTTTTTGATGCTCAGTCAGGAGCCGGCCCAAAGGGTGGATACATCGGTTCCACTATTTCTGGACAGAGGCCTTGGTGTGGAGAGCCAGGGTTTGGGCCTGATCCAGAGGGCGGGTATTTTGGCTGGTCAGAGGGAATTGCTGTCCACAGAGACACAGTCTATCCCAATTCCAGAATCGCCTTCAAACTCCAAAGCACAGAGTGGTGGAAACCAGATACACCCACATACCGGTGGCCCGGGGTTATCCGGTTCCTCTCTCACGGCTGGGAGATAAAGCGCTGGCCGGAGAGCTCCCCTGGGATGAGCTCTTGAGGGGTTTGCAAGGCAGGCTGGGCCGGTGTTGAGCATAGGAATGTAGGAGTGAGCCGTTCACATGGCTAACCCATAAACATGAGCCTATCGGTTGCCCGAAGACTTACACATCGCTCCTGGTGCCACCTTTTCCAGCAATTACACAGGTACTCGTGTAAAGGCATTTTAACTTCCCTTGTGGCACAGGGCCCATGTAGAAGGGGGGGAGAGGAGTATGAGGGGAGGGGCCCTGGTGCTATAGCGTGGAGGGTCCGGGGAGTGCAGGGCAGAGGCAGGCCGGTGGGTCCCATTCAACGCTGCCGAGCCCAATGGGGACCGTTTTCCCTTGTGCCAAGTGGGTATCACTGCCCAGTCAGCCCGGTGGCCATGTGCACTCTCGCTGCACCGGTGGGAAAGGCCATGAAAGGGGCTTGCCTGGCTGGGTTGATTGAGTTGGGGTTGGTCCTGCTTTGGGCAGGGGCTGGACTCGGTGACTCCTGAGGTCTCTGCCACCCTAGGATTCAACAAGTCGGGGGACAGGGGGAAACTAGCCCTGGGGAGGGTATCTGAGGGCCTGGACGGAGAGAAGCCAGCAGCTCCTTCTCCTCCAAAAAGGCTGCCCTCCCAAGAGGGAGCATCCACCACCATCTGCAGTATTGAGTCCAGTTCTGGGCCCCCCGCTACAGAAAGGACGTGGACGCATTGGAGAGGGTCCAGTGGAGGGCGACCAAAATTCTGAGGGGGCGGGAGCACATGGCCTACGAGGAGAGGCTGAGGGACTTGGGTCTGTTTAGTCTGCAGAAGAGAAGAGTGAGGGGGGATTTGAGAGCAGCCTTCAACTTCCTGAAGGGAGGTTCCAAAGAGGATGGAGAGAGGCTGGTCTCAGTAGTGACAGATGCAGAACAAGGAGCAATGGGCTCAAGTTGTGGTGGGAGAGGTCCAGGTTGGATATTAGGAAAAACTATTTCCCTAGGAGGGTGGGAAGCGCTGGGCTGGGTTCCCTAGGGAAGTAGCGGAGTCTCCATCCCTAGAGGTGTTTCAGTCCCAGCTTGACCAAGCCCAGGCTGGCGTGAT